AACGGCTAATCTTAGGTCTGAGAGTATGGATAGTCTCGTTGTGAGGATCGACGGGGTGGGATAAGAGTTGTTTATATATATGGTGAAATTGTCTATTTTGTGAGTTTTAAACTATATATATGGTATAACATTGTGGGATTGAAATCCCTATGTACTCACCAGGTTTCCCAACCTAACCCACTCAGTTTATTTATATCACAGGTGTTGATATGAAGTCACATTACACCGAGAGATTAAGGAGATATAAATCACTAGTGATAATGAATGTAAGTTCTATTTATGCTTATGTTTCTATATTGACGATGACATCCCAAATGTTTTAAAATGAATAAAAATACTTTTCTTCGGATGTGCTTTGATAACGTATTTATCATGTTTTACTGGGAACAAATTCCACAACATTTTTATTAAAAGAGGTACTCTGATTTTTATAAAGCATAAACAAAATCGGTCTTTTTTGGTCGTGAAAATGGGGATGTCACATCCTCCCAAACAACTAACCCACCCACGAAACTTCCACCAACCCTGAAACACTAGTGTATGCTAGCCATACATAACGTTGGACCCTATAGATTTTCGAATATTCAATCCTAACCTAAGCTCCAAATCAAACAAGAACATAACATAAGGCCAAATCAAACATTCTCAGGCTAGAAGATCTTAATTATGTATAACCATGATGCCTACACTAGATAACTATAATAATGATGTCAATTTCATATAAGGGAAACCCTAGGCTAGCAGGCATCATGTATAAGGCAATTCTACCATGCAATTCCTAAAGATCCCTAGCCTAGTAGTAGCATGCTGTTCTATCATATCACATAATAAATTAACTGTATGGTATTTTGGGGTCTACTTACTGGAATCGGCTGATCGTACGCCCTGCATCCTCTACTTATTTTGAAAACCATTTAAAACCATTTTGAAAATCTTTCCTTGATTTGAGACTAGATTCACACGAATGTTCCTTCAATTCACTCAAACCATGGCTCTGATACCAACTTATAACATTCAAAGTTTCAAACCAATTTAAACTTTTTAAAACATGTCAAGTTCATCCAAACATTACAACTTTGTTTTCAAAATATTGATTATCAGAGTTTTTCCCAGAAACATAAACACAATAGGAGGAGCTGTACAATTACGCCTTGGCCTTGCCTCGATCCCCTGATGTACCTGAGGCAATAAACTGAAAGTGTAAACCCAAAAGCTTAGTGAGTTACCCCCAAAATACCGATACACATACAGTCCACATAGCAATATCAACATTAACATATCATATCATTCAAAACAAAACAGCATGCATTGGGTCCACAGCTTTACAAGCTGGACTACCCCTAGGCCCTCAGTACGAATCTGGAATGCCTACCGGGTCCTCAGCTCGTATTTGGAATGCCATCGAGCCCTCAGTATGAGTCTGGGATGCCTACCGGGCCCTCAGCTCATATCTGGAATGCTCCCGAGTCCTCGGTATGAGTCTGGAATGCCTACCGGGCCCTAAGCTTATATCTGGAATACGGTAGGGTTTGTTGGCCACCGCATGGAGCAGTACAACCTCAAACCATCCCACATAACATGTCAACATGTAATAGATAAATACACATACAGGAAATCAGACAATATCACAGGTAGCCCTACAGACCTACCAAACTAGCATATGAACTAGCATACATCACTAACATGCAATACTAACTCATGATCAACATCAAACACTGCTAGGATAATACATCCAATGGGCCGGGCTTGGTGCCTTAGACCCCTTAGTATAGTAAGGACAACTCACCTCATAGATGTCAGCTTAGAAAATAAATCACAGCTCTCCAATTACTCGTCAAAGACTCCATCACCTATTACCACATTACGAATATCCTCATAAGTCTTCATCCTCACAGACTACTTCATAACCCAACTAGCTAACCCTGGTCAAAGTCAAAGTCCTTAGTCAAGGTCAACAGTCCATGTTGACCTTAACTCGTCGAATACCCTCTTCTACTCTTCAAAGACTCCACGTACGCCCATCGTTCGTGATTCAAAGCCAGTACGTGCAACGTACTATCAGGTACACCTGACGTACACAAGTCCAAGATAATTCCTTCCTTTTGTGATTAATCCCTTAAGACCTTTTGTCCAGAGCCCAAATCTAGACTTAAAACATCGACTTTAGTCATAAAGTTTCCACCTTTAACATTTTCCATGGTTAGAAAAGGTCCCAAAGCTAAAACCCTAACTTATTTATCCATTAATACATCTTAACTCTTGCATGGAAGTGATGGAAGGACCAAGATCACATTTTTATGGTTCCTAATAGCTCCATAATGATAAAGTTTCCGACTTTATCCATTAGAATAGTCCAGGCAACCAAGATCTAGTCTTTTAAGTTTCAAAGGGACCAAATGTGCATCTTTCTTACTTAATGCAATAAGTCCAACTTTTCAAGCTTTAGATCTGAATCAAAATGATATTTAGATGGATAAAGTTTCCAACTTTATCCATAACATGGTCACAAACTTGAAAAACCTAAACTTTATGCACTAAAGTAACCAAAAGCTCATAATATCCAAAACTAGCTAAATCTAATAAATGCATCATCAAGAATCAAGTTTTATACTTCTAGAAGAAAGATCAAGGTGAAAAAGGTCTGGATCTACAAGCTACCATGCTACCATGTAACAACGTGAATTTCCATAATAATTTTTCATTTTTAATCATAATAAATTTCATAAGAGCAATTTCAAAACCCATTGTATCACATATTATCTCAATAAACAACCCCGAAATCTCAAGTACATAAATCCTCATCAGTGTGTACAGATCATGTTGGCACCTTCCTGCGATCCTCGCTAGTACTTGAAACACATATCACATAACACGGTAAGCATAAACGCTTAGTGAGTTCCCCAAAATACCACATACAACACATACGCCACTCAAGGCCATAGCTCTATGGGACCTTCCAATCCATGTGTCTCAGGGGACTTTCATCCCAACCCTGGTAGACCTTCTGGTACTACCCGTAATGACCTTCCGGTCCTCCTCATCGACCTTCCGGTCCATCTCATCTTGACCTTCCGGTCCATACCCTGTTGACCTTCCGGTTCATATCATAATGACCTTCCGGTCCATTCCATGCTACTCATAACATAACATAACACATACATATCACATATCAACATATATCACATACTCTGCATAGCATATAAGACCTTCCGGTCATACATAATTACCACTCTATGTAAAGTATAGTGAGAAGACTCACCTCGTATGAAGTTGGATAAACTCTCGTGCTTGAATATCCCGACCTAGCCTCCTCCTATCAATAGTATAAGATCTCTAATCAAAATCCTCTCATGTTCTCATCTTTAATAATGGGTAGAAGACCATTCTACCCCTTTCTGACCTCACTTGAATCAGCTTGACCAAAACCCCAAGGTTAACTGAAGTCAACTCTAGTTAATGGTCAAACTTTGACCACACTCGCCAAGTGCACATGGGTGACTCGGCGAGTCCAAGTGTGTCCTCTGGATCCTTCTAAAGCCTCACTCGACTTGTCGTGTGAACCTTCCACTCGACGGGTTACCACTGGTCATGAATCGCGGTGCAACCCGATCCGACTCATCGAGTTCCCTTATGGACTCGACGAGTTTCCTCCATGGCAACACTCATTCGTCCTTCTGAGGTCAGATCTATTTCTCTAACTTATAGATCTGGCCTTCTAGCACCGAAAAGTCATGTAAAGGTCTGAACTTGAGGCTCATGCATGATGCATTTTGCTCTATACATCATTATGACTCCATTGAAGCTTCATAGTTTCAAAGCTCCAAGGTTACTCCTTCATGGCTACCTACTTTCTGGTTCTATGGACCTCACAAGGTCCATATCTACAAAATAACTCGAAAAAGGGTTTGGATGCACCCAAAACCCCATCAATAAGGTGATACAAGCCCTAACTTAACCACCAAAGGAAATCTACTCAAACATAAGGGAGACAAGAGCTTGTACCAGATCTGAAGCTTGAAATAAGGATGAAACTGATCCACCAAGCCTCCTCTAAGATCCTTGCAACACCATTGACCTTCTTCTCAAAGAAATGACCTATAATTAGCCTCTCTCTCCTTTTTAGCTCACAAATAGCTTTAGGGTTTCTCTCAAGGGACGAAGACACTGATGGGAAAGGGACAAGGAGGCTATTAGTGCTTTTAAATAGGCCCATGTCTGAGAGAATTAGGGTTTTTGTTAACAACTCTGACTCGGCGAGTCAGCTTGCCGACTCGTCGAGTCCATTCATTTTCCACGTCACCAAGCCGCGATCCTACTCGACGAGTTAAGGCGCCAACTCGTCGAGTTACTCCTCATAACTTCGAAAATAAATATTCATTTTATCATATCTGGAAATTCGGATGTTACATACCAACACTTCTCCAATAAGCTTCTTATTCTCTAAGATGCACCAATAACACTCCAAAACACTTAAAAACTCAAGGATCACACAAGTGGGGCTAAGGTTTCGATCTTAGGGTTAGAGAGGATGGAGGCTGAAAGAAATAAGAGGTTGGGAAAGTTAAGGAGCTTATATAGGGCTCAAACCCCGAAATTAGGTTTTGGGTTCTAAACGCGTACGTTGGGCGTACTTTTGGTATGCCCAACGTACATGGTTGATCCACCACGATCAATCATTGCCTAGTCCTCCCAGCATACACATTGTACGCTAAGCGTAGTCGGCTTAACCCAAAACCTTCTTGACTTCTAACGGTCATAACTTCTTTGTTCCAACTCAATTTTCGAAGATCTTTATATCACGGAAAGGAATTGGAAAGCCCCACAATATTATGTAGATATCTTGAACTAAAAACTTCTCAAATAAAGATCCATATTTCATGCAAGAATCAGACTTTTAACTTTTCCCTTTCCACCCTTCGACAATTCAAGTGTTAAATCTCTTAACCATCGTTACATCCTTCCATAAGGACTAAACTTTACCTCCTTATGGCTCAGAACCTTTATATAATCGACTTCCGGCCCACGACCTTGAAATAAGAAATGACAGAAAAGAGGATGTTACAAGAAGCTTGTAAACTCATTATATATCTATGTTTATAAACTCACTAAGAGTTTGCTACTTTTCTTATGTAGGACACATTCCCACAACCATTTTATTTGCTAATTTTATTTTCAAATACTAATATTGGAGCATCGATATTTTAAACACGCATTTTTTATTTTGGACACAACATATATCGTTTCAAAGCTCTCACGAAAAACACAACACTAAGAATTAATAAAACATACAATATATATTTATATTTAGATATTTCCAAAGTACATAATTTTTATTAAAATTTCCAACAGATTTCCCTTCCATATATAAGGTATTGTATTTGTATATATATTGAGACATTGTCAATTAAAAGAATCCTAGGGGATTATTACATGCATTCTTTCACTTTTTACTCTGATTTGATGTTTATTGTAGCCTTCAATTTTTCTAATGGTCAATATGACTGCGATACTCCGATACAACGAAGGAAAGGGTTTTCAGAAACGAGGGGAAAGAAGGCGAGGAAGGGAGATTAAAGTGACATTCAAAATGATACCGGCACAAAAAAAAAAAAAAAAAAAAAAAAAAAAAAGAAAAAAAAAACAGTATGAATTCTATTATGAATAGGTAGGTTAATTAATTAACCCACTAACAATTTGACAACAAATTAAATTCACATGGCGAAGAAAAATGTAAACATAAAATGAAAACAAATTCAATCAATATAACATATTGTGGGCAATCATCTTCCGACTTAGTTTACTACTCTACAATCGAGCCTAACCTCTTGGCCACCATTGATGCTGCTCATCTTGATCATTGACTTGACAAACGCTTTCTCGAACTCTTGTTTCGAGCTAGCAAACTTTGAGACCAATGTTCTGGACTTTGCCATTGTAACCAACGACTGATCAGAGGAGAAAATACTTTTTCCTTGTAGAAGTAACTTATAATATCTGTTGTCGAAAGTGGTGGGTGTCGAATCAAGATTTGCACCTGCGTTTTTCGGTGTGTTTTGTGCTGGGCAAACACTCTTTAAACTAGCTGCAAAAGACGATTGCAATGTGGGGTCGACACTTTGCTTTGCAGCAAAGTTGTGTATCCTGTTCTGGAAAGATGAGCAATGAGAGAACCCGAGAGTATGACCACCTACAATACATTGATAATAGTCTTTATTCAGCTGGGTTGTTTTCTCAAGTCTAGAGATACATAGAAAAACTCTCTAAAATCATCACCTTTCGGGTTTATAGACAGTTTTAGATAAAATATTTTGTTAAATACCTGAGAGTGCAACTAAATCATCTATGGAAAGACCTCTCTGAGCGAAACTTTGTTGCAACTGTGAAATGTTGAATGTTGGACCTGGTAACTGTCGTGTTTCAGTTGCCTTGGAAACTCTTCCATCTTTTCTTCCTTTTGGCACGTCCCACGTTGGCCCTCCAGACTACATTGAAATTACAAAAAACCAGAATCTTAGCACAATTACATGTTAAATTTGTAACCTCTAATGTGTTAAAGAAGAAGATTACGTACGAGAGTGACTGCATCCCTTGCTGCTAAGGCCAAGATATCAGCACAAGAGACAGTTTTAGGACATAGAGCCTCTACTGCTTTCTTTGCATGATCAATTACATAAAATGCATGCAAAGATATGTTCGGAGGCCCATCCTTTTCCGTTTGATTATTGCCTGTTGAATTCAACAGCACTGAGCCATCACATCCCTTCAGAATTCAAGATAAAAAATTCGATAATCAAACAAACTGTTATGCTACTTTGACAGTACATTGATCTTTTTTCATATACGACACAGAAATAAATAAAAAAAAAAAAAAAAAAAAAAAAAAAGATTATATGGACAAATTAAGTTGAAGAAGAGTAGTCACTCTGATGAAGCAGTCATGGAAGTGCATTCTAAGAAGTGCAGCAGGAACCCTTCGATCATTTAACATAGCTTTCTTCACCACACTTGTGATGGTTGATTCAGCCTTTGGGCATGTTTGATCGTAGTAGTTGGAACTCAGTGCATTGATCTGGTTGAGATGGGATACTCCCAACAAAATGAGACCAAAAAGAAGCGAGAAGAAGGTAGTGTTCTTGGCTGCCATTGTTGGTAGTAAAAAGGTTTATCAATGGTGTTTGGAAGTGGTGAAGAAGATGAACAGAAAAGTTGGGTATTTGTAGGGAGAAACAAATAGGTTG